TTTCCCAGAAAGGAAGTTCAGAGACTGGGTCATAATTGGTAGACTCATTAGTATTAAATTATGTGGGTTTTATTAGGGGCTAGACATTCACTTGTTTAAATGTAGCTGGCATTTTAATGCCTCTCTAAGGGAATGTAATACGTACTGCATAGGCAATACATACTGACTTTTATTGGTGCAGACCAAGCTCACAGGTGATAGGGGCACCTGCTTGTGTCGGTTTAAGGCCCGTGCAATGGGCTAGTTTCTGCAGTTAAGATACAGAATGGCAGAAAAGAGGCAACACCTTCTTTTTCTCCACTGTCCTTGCTAGAAGAGTGAGAACCTTTTACAGGAACTGATGTCCTCTGAGTATGTCTTTATGAGAGAACAATAGTAACTACTTATAGGGACTGTTCTAATGCTACAGAAGTCACACATTGTTTCAGATTGACCGTGTCCCTCAGGATACAGCTGCTTCATATCCCCATGAAACTGAACTGCAGCATGGTAGCGTGCTGTAATGTCAGTGCTGCATAAAGCATACAAGCACAGGAACAAAGAAATAGACACCCAGGTGAACTTGGGGGTGCTATATCTCAAGAAATCATTATACATTTTAACATAAGCATATGCTTCCTTTACACACACACACACAAAAAAAGCCTTTTCCATTCCATATCCTTTGCAAAATGTAAGTATTCTTGAATACATACTAAATATGAGTAAATTATTGGTTCATTTTCTGAGACTTCTTTATGTCCATTTGGCTTAACGTTGCCTATTTTATGATGAATTGAATTTCTTCCTTCTTTAGGCAACTTGTTTATCTGATTAAAAATCTTGGAGCATTTGACAGTGCATATTTAAATTCAAGAAAAAAACAAAGGTGGAAATAAACAGACTGCTCCATAGGGGGTTCCCAGGAATTGAAAGATATGTAGCGCACCTTAGGCTGATCCAATCACACTTGGATTAGCTGGAGAATTGCTGTGTGGTTAACTAACTTGCAGGGTGATATGGGAAGGCAGTCTCTCAGAGTGTAATTAAATGATAAGTTCACATTCAAGGGACTATTGTAAGTTACTGAGACTGTCATATACAATGCCAAAAATAGGCCGTCTCATGATGAATACCCTTATTACCAGCTATACTGCTCTGTGTTCATATGATGTGGCAGGGGAATTCGACAGGACCTAGTCCTGTTTGTTAGAGATTTCCCAAAAGATTGTGTATGAGATTGATATAAAAGGTGTCTACATCTGAAAAGCAAATAGACTGCACACTTTTAGCCCACGACAATGTGGCTGTTAATCATGTGTTAGTAGTCAGATCTAACGTGGATTCACCTCTCTGTTGAAAAATAGTTTTGATTACATCAAATACACTGATCAGAATTTTGTTATTACCGGGAGAATCTGTCTGAGAATAGTTTATGTTCATTACAAACCATTTTTAAAGAGTGGCCTTGGGATCTTGCAAGATGACATCTCCACCCTTTTTGAATTTTGTTATGGGAACAGTTGCTGAGGATTCTTGTCTTCTCTTTTTATAGCATAGGTTTATCAATTATAACTCTTCTTCTAATTTTATACTTTGTCAGTAAAAATACCCTAGTTCAGCCAGGAAGCTATCAATCCTTTCAATACAGTCTTCCAGTAGGCTTAGAAGGTTCTCAGTGAATCTTGGATGGCAAAAATGAGTATCTTACCCTTTGGGTTCATAAAATCTATGGGAGCAACTGAAAAGGCTTTATTTGGTCACTTGTGTGACGTTTGGATCAACCACCACGATCTAATAATAAAAGACGAACATCTGTGCCCTTTGCATTCTGAGTACTTTGTCATCTACTGTGCACTGAGCATTATTTTTCTGAATAGATAAGAGGTAAAAGGAAGAGGAACTGGAAACAGACTATTTTGGAAGAAAATTCATTTTACTCCCTGTGTAATCACACAGAAGGAAATAGGAGAATTCACTCCCCCCCCCCGATTTGAGTGTACTCAGTTTCACCCAAGACATAATCTCAAGAAATCTGTTGTGTAGCTGTCATTGAAGACCATCTCCTGCAATTCTGTTGGCTGCGGTTGTCATTCCTATGTATGTCTGAATCTGGTTTTGCTCTCAGATCTTTCACATCACTGTGTGTTCAGCGGCCTTTGCTAACTAGAGTGAATAATCAAGAACGCATCAGGGTTGAGGTGAAGTTCTCCTGTAGACCTCGGTGTCTTTACTACTTGAAAATCAGCTGCTAAGAACATTGTATTAAAGAGTGGAAAGTTCCATCTGTAGAATTAGAATTCTTTATTTCCTAGACTTAGACTGTTGGAGAATAGGAAATAGTTTTCTTGAGTATGTGGGCAAGCAAATTTGTGAAACAAGGGAATTTCTGAATGCTGCTATTTATCTGCAAGTACATAGACTTTAATTTGAGCAAAGTTCATGGTGGCACCAAGGATGCCAAAGCCTACTGTGCCAGGTGATGTAAAGTAACCAGTTGTGTGTGCCCAGGTGGCCACGTAGGCCAACAGCATCCTGGCTTATGTCAGAGATAGTGCAGCCAGTAGGAGCAGGAGGTGATAGTTCCTCTGTACTCAGCTCTGGTTAGGCTGCACCATGTTTATCATGTTTGGTTTTGGGCCCCTCACTGCAAGCAAGACATTAAGACACTGGAGTGTGTTCAGAGAAGGGCAGCAAAGCTGTGAAGGGTCTGGAACACAAGTCTTATAGGCGAGGCTCAGAAGGGAGACCTTATTGCTCTCTACAGCTCACTGAAAGGTGATAGTGAGGTGGTAGTGACATGGGGGTTGGCGTCTTCTCCCATGTAACAGCAACAGGACAAGGTAACTATATTTACTTTCTTTTTGAGTGTGAGTCAAACTGATGATGTCCCAGGGCTACAAAAACCATGGGCAGAAGGATTTCTGACTGTAACACCTGCCTCTGCGCTTAGCCTTTTAATAAAGGCATTTGGGCTCCAAAAGCAGTTTGGACTGCTGCATCAGGAGTGAAATCATTTCATTTTTCACTATCAAATAGCTGGGAAAATGTTGGGGGGGAATATAAAGTTATTAGCTGAAAATCTCAAATCTGGGAATTTGAATTGCACTGGAAACTGACTGAAATATAGCTGTGTTGATGTGTGTAGAATGAACTTGATTTTGCATTCTCTTAAAATATGAAAATGTGGGGAAAGAGGACATAAAAATATTTGCACACAAAATGCTTTCAGTGTGATTTATATGACACAAATCCAAGCTGCTAGTGCATTTTTTTCTTTCTGCATTCTAAGGTCGCATGTGTCTAAGGTGAAGAAATTCTTCTAACTCTACTTTTTGAAACAACGTTCTGCAGCACAATTAGCTGCATTGACAGGGATACGGAACTGCTGTATGTGGGAACATGGAAAGCCGTTTGTTTGAGAAATACACACAAAGAAGTTTTTGCCTTTCCACATACTTTCTATTTTGAGCATGCTCAGTGGGAATAAATTTGTATTGCCATCTTTTACATACATGTAGGTTTTGCAAGCCAGCAGGAAGTTATTAATCTATCGCTTTCTGTTAAGATGACAGTGATGTTTAGATCCAGAACTCAAGTAGAATGTGCATCACAATTGGATGCGGCTGGATAACAGTCCCAGAAGCTTCTTTATGATATGTGATGGATCTATAAGACAATTGTTTCAGGGCACTTTTGTGTATATTGTTAATATGATGCATGATGACGTGACCAATTATAGTAAGCTAATGTTCAAACAGCATGTCACAACCTGTGTATCAGTGTATTAGATCTCTTCTTTCAACAAACAAATGAAACCTAGAGCAAGATGAGTTGAAGTCGTTGACCTCATAAAAGGTCAAAATCCCTTTATACTGACCTCCCTACTACGACATAATTATTAGAACATTATTCAAATCTGTGAGGGGAAGAATTAGCTTTAATCTTTGAAAGTGTGATTTGATTTGTCAGAAAAAAGCTTGTTGTAAATTTCCAGAGGTGGAAAATTTAATCCATAGCAGAGTTTATGGTGCTAGAACTGCTTCTGAATTCCTTTGTGCAGCTAGTTCAGTTCCCAAAATGCATTGCTGGGTTCAGGTGAGGAGGTGCCACTGCCCTGCTCTTTTCTTCACAGCCTGGGCTAGGAAAATTGGCAGTATAAATGCTCCCTTGGGCTGTGGCTGTGCAAATTTCCATCATTTCAGCAGTGAAAGGGAGAGTCCAACATGGGCCGTTGTCATTCCTGATGGATGGAAAGTGTTTGAGGAGCACCAGCTCTAGAAGGGGTTTGTAGTACCTCCCAGCACTGAGCGATGTGTTTTGAGGTCCTGCTATTACCTGCAGAAATGTACCTGCTTGATCTTCCTTGGCTAAGTGTCATAAAGAGTGGCTTTTTTCTACGGAAGTTCTTCTATCCTTGCTGTCACACTTACCCCAGCATGGGAGAGCATCTATAGTATAGCTGATGGAAACTGTGGTCTGCTCCCAGGGAAATTATTCAGATGTGGAACCAAAGTGCCTTACAGTTGCTTACCACACACCTGTTTCTGCAGGTGGTCAAACACAATGTGTGGGGCCAGCATTTGGGCAGCATGTGACAGCAATGAGGTGATCTTCCCACTTTGGAATACTTTGGGCTCAGCATGGTCATTGTGGGTACTTTTATAGAGGATTTGTGAACCTACTGTTCTGTTGTGTGAGCAGAACCTGTTATGAGGTAACATAAGTTGAGAGGTAACCTTTCAGCAGAATAGTTTGAGTTAAAATAAAGGAATTGAAAAAGAGTACAATGACCAAAAAAATCTATAAAAATGCAATTGCACTAATATAATTTTATCACTTATTTAAAAATTTAGTCGACCCAAAAGACTACCAAGTGTGAAATTAAGGAACAGCTCCTCTACTTTTATGGAAATCACTCTTCTTCACTTGTCTAATAGCCTGATTTTGTCAGATCATTTATTTCCATGGTTTTAAAATGAGCTTGACAGACAGAATTTTATAACACCACTTTACTGCAAATAAGAACATCATTTTCGCTTATTAAAACTGAAGCTTAGAGAAAGCATTAAAATTAACAGTTCACTCTGCTTTAACCTTTTGAATACTACTGTGACTTTACACTCCACACTATGTGTAAGGAAAGACTTGGTGGCTGCTGGGTATGCACCCAGAGCTGAGCTCTGGAAGGGCCACTGGGCGAGAAGCTGCTCCAAATCTACTCATGCTCGCTTTGATAATTCTGTGAATGCAAACATTTAAAACACCACTGACAGAAATGAATACTTGCTCCAGTCAAGGTGACTTCAGGCATCAGAACAGTGCAGTGAAGAGAGGCAGTGAGTCAGCGTGTTATAGCAAACATGGTCTGAGATTATAGGCATGTATCTGCATAGAGCAAACACCATAAAATGAAGCTTATTCTCCTAACAGATGTTTCACTTTCAGTATGGTTTTCCTTTCTGAGCAATGAAAACTTTGACTGATCTTGGAGGTCACTGACAGATGATGAGTTCTGTACTTCATAGCTGGCAGTAACTCAAACATCATGGCAATGGTGGTGAGATGCAACCTCCCCCCTCCTGGCTTATCTCCAGGGAGGAATGTCATCTTCGCAGCTACAGCTGGACCTTATCTGCTTTGGGGGGGTGTTTAATAATGACAGTTTAGATCAGGTTTTCCCATGCATGTTTGTCGGCCTTGTTTTGTTCTCAGTTGCATGCCTGGAGTTATTCATTGCCATCAGTTCTTGCCCCGGTGCTATGTTCCTTTTGAAATCTAAATTGGTGGAGGTGTGGGAGTCCTAGGCAGGGCAGTGTTGCTGGGCTTACGCTGCTCCCTCTTAGCAAAGCTGTCCTTCTGCTAGCAGTGGTTATTCCTTGAAGTTAATGATGATGATAAAAATAGATTTTCTTTCTTACATTGTCAACATTTTAGTAGATAACAAGGACAGATCTCTCCCAGGATCTTCACTGGAAAAACTGATTCAGACTGTGGCAAGGCATTCATACCCTTTCTCTGCCAGTCCATACAACCTAAAAATGCAGGCAGTAGTGCAAGAAGTGCAGCTGCCAGATTTTGTATCTCCATTCAAAGGCTTCTGTACCTTGGCTTTTAGAGTCACCCATCTGCAGATCAGCAGAGAATAACAATCTTCTCTCCTGCCCCAGTGAGTTTTCCCAAGTTTCAAAACATGCAGTCTGGAGGGGAAAGGACCCGATGTCTGTCTTTTGTGTTTAAATTAAACAGGAGATTGAATAAGAGAATGCTTGCTTCTAGTTTTGACTACAGAGGACATCCATCTTTAATCCAACCCTTCTTTTCCTCTTTCTGTTGTCTTGGCACAAGATTTTGGTAGACTTCATTTCCTGCCATCAAATATTCTGCAGTCTTGTTTCTGCGCAGAGCCTTTTTGCCTCTTTTCACTGTAGCTGAAGTTTCATTTCATAGTTAAAAAGATTCCTATGCAAGCTAATAACTGCTTTTGAACCCTTTCAAATGAAAGATCTGCACGATGTCTCAGTATTATAAACATTGCATTGTCCTTCTTACAGCCTTTTGTTCTTGCTATAGCTTATAACTGTGAGAGAATGTGCTAGATGGAGAACAAGTAGCCCACAAATTTCTCCACCAGCACTTGCTACAAGTCCAGATTTAGTTTGAGTTCTAATTGCTGTATCCTTTTGGTGTGATTAAACCATCATTCCTTGCCTTTAAGGATCAATCCTCTGGACTTCAGGTTGAGAATCAAATTGCCTGCGTGCCCTGAAGTCTGAGAATCAAATGAAGAAGTTTACTGCATGGAGACTTCAAATTTTAACTTGAACTAAGTCTAAAAAATGACCAGAGAACTTTTTACTGTGGTAGGTAATTAATCTTCCATTCCTCTAAGAAGCACTGTACAAGAAAGGCTATACAGAATGCAGTAATGTATGGTTGTGTTACTGGAAAAGGTGCAGCCTTGCATCATCATCATAAATGAAAAAAGCCCCTCAGCAACCCTGACTGAAATTGAAGGTGATGGTACAGGAATATCTAGCAGTCCAAGTTTATAGTTTGCCTGCAAAATTGATATAAGATAAGGAAGAGAAATTTCTGTCAGGAATATTTGGGCAGCAAGTATGGAAATCACAGAATGGCTTAGGTTGGAAGAGACCTCAAAGATCATTGAGCTCCAACCCTCCTGCTGTGGGCAGGGTTGCCAGCCACCAGATCAGGCTGCCCAGGGCTCCATCCAACCTGGCCTTGGGCACCTCCAGGGATGGGGCATCCACAGCTTCTCTGGGCACCCTGTTCTGGTGCCTCACCTCCATGCTGGCTGTCTTGAATTGCCTCCTCATCTCATGTGTGCCTTAATATCTCTACCAGGTTTAGGATGGTGCAGAGAGAGTCCACCAAGAAGGGTGTACTACCAGTGCTGCAGGAGCCCTAATAGACAGAATGCACATCTCCCACGGACACAGCAGCATGTGCTTCACTTAAGACCAAGATGTGTAAAGCATGTTCCAGTGTCTTCTTTCAAGTGGAAGATGTGGATGCCGACGATGGTGCTGACCCATACTACTGCATCAAATATGTGAAGGAACACCTGAGAGACCTTGAGGTAGTACAAGCATTCAGACTTCAATACCTGTCAGGCCAAGAAATCACTGGGACCATGCACACTATGCTAGTAGACTGGCTTATGCAAATGAAATTCAGACTGTTTCAGGAGACACTCGAGCGTTGCTGTTAATAATCACTTTTTTCAGGACAATGCTGTGCTGAAGCTGGGTGGTGTCACAGCTATGTTCATTATCAGGATTTATAAAGTTCAGGACATGGTCAAAATATCTGTGTGTACCCATCTAAATATGCACAAGGATTTGCATTTATCTAATAGTTGTACAGTGAATTTCTCTCAAGACAGGGTATTTTGAATTGAATAAGCCATCTTCCTCATCTTAGCACTTCTGCAGTTTCAAATTACCAAAGCAAAATATTTGTGGAAATTTTTTAATATCTGTGAAGTTAAGAATAATAAGATGAAGGAAGAATCCTGGAGGAGTTAATTACAACTTGCTTGTGTATTTCTTTTGCGAATTTCAGCGTGCAATTGAGTGCAAGTGAACACCTTTAGCTGAACCCCACCATAAGGAAAACAAAACCACTGTCTGTTCAGGAACTGAACTTGGAAAGATGTACAGCAAGACTGGGGCAAGAAGTAAATAATAAACAAACCAAAATATATAAGAGTCTTCTGCACCCTCCTGAACCTGGAAGAAATGCTAAGGCAGATGAGTTTATTCCTCATTTAAATTTAAACTTTGTTATTGTAATCCCATTGTAATTTAAACTTTTAAATTATAGTTTCTGTGAAATTACATATTAGACATCTAAAAAGGACCACTGAGATAAGGTAAAGGTACCTTCTTGTGAGCCATAGCTGTTATAGCCAATTTGCTGTCCAGCCAGTCTGTGTGCCAGAAAAGTACCATCAGTTCTGAATTAATATGTGCTGCAGATTTCTCCAACTTAGAATGTGGCAAATGGAGTAAAAAGTGAAGATAAAGCAGTGTTGGAGTACCTTGCAGTGTAGGTAAGCTTTTTATAATATGACACTGTCCTTCCAAAAGCTTGGGATTCAGACTCATGAATAAGAAATCTTAACATTTCTTCTTGCACCTGAAGTAAGGACTGGAAATCGGTGTGGTTTTTGTCTCAGAAGAAAGGCCTTCACGTTTCTGGCTTCCCCAGAAAATGTGTTAAAGCTGAGATTTTAAATTTAGTCACAGAAACTTGAAGGGCTCTGAGGAAGCATCAAGGCCGTCCTCCTGCCCTGGGGTGGTGTAACTGACTGCTTCTGTGTCACTCCCGGCAGATGCTTGTCTCATTTTTGTTTAAAAACATAATTTGGGGAAACTGTACAGTGTGTCCAGGAAATCTCTTCCTCCCGTGTTTCACCATTTTTGCCACACAAAAATGCACGCAACAGCTCTTTCTTAAGATCCAGTGTGACTCTTTTTTTCCTGTAACTTAAACCTGTTATTTCTTGCCCTTAGACCAGCTTTGGATCCATTCCTCTTTTCTGCAGCCTTTAATGTGACTACAAGTTGTTATCATCTCAACGTAAACATACCTGACTGTTTCGTTTGCTGGCTTAAAGAAGCTGGCTAATTAACCTGCTAGATAATGGCTTTTTGATTTGTCATTACATCTAGATCTTTGCCACGTGGATCACAGAAGAGGTGCCCTGAACAGGGATCACCTGGAGCCTTCCCACTGTTGAGCAGAAGAATTATTTTGTTTTTTCACCCTATGTTGTAGGGTGTCCGTGCTTTTATGCATCTGAGTGTGGCATTAAATATTATTTTTGGCCCCAAAACACTCTCAGATCTTTTCTTAGTTAAGCCAGCTCTTCCTGTAGCTTGACACTTACAGTACGTTCTGGGTTGGATCTGTGCAACAAGTTTTTAAAGGCCTTACTTTTATTTCAGCATTCAGGTTGCTAATGAGGGTGCTGCATGTTGTCGGATCCAGACCCCTGTGTGATGCCTCCTTTTCATTTTGATAGCGAAGCACTGATAACTACTATTAAGGCATGGTTTTCACCCAGCTTTGTGTCCCCCTATTACATTTCCATCAGCATCATGTGGGACATTGCATTAGAAATCAGGGACAAGTGATAGTTATTTAGGTGTGCTTGGGAGTTCAATGAGTATGGATGTATTAATATGCACTTGGATTCTCTGACTGTTCAGTGAATGGATGTACATTTTTATTGGTGCAGCTGGTGCTTTTTAAAAGTGATGCATAGAAATACACTTGCTAATGAAAATTGCTAAGACATCATAAAGAAATGGGTTATAGGGTTCAGAAAACCAAAAACGAAACTGAATCTAATTACCAAAGAGGAAGGTGTGCTGCTGTGAATTTGATTGAGATTTTATGTAAATCCCGTCCAGCTAGTCCACTCCAGCATTTGATTTAGAAGTCTAATGGGCAGTAAGGATGTGCAGAATGCAGATTGTGGGCAAGCTGCAAAGCAGCTGCTCTGGTGAGCTACTAGGTTAAGTGACTGATAGACTTCTGCTGGGGTTTCTGTCCACAGTGTCTGGTGTTGGGGATAATCAGAACACAGTGACCCAAAGCTCTGGGTTCATAGCAATCATTTTTGTATGGAAAGTAGAGTTCTAAATCCTACAGACACATCCTACTTCCCAGCACAAGCTGTCAAAAACAACAACAATCATCATAAATACAGAGGTAATAACTGTTACGCACCAGTCACTTTAAGCACTCAGTAGTTTCCCAGGCTTTAAAGTAGTGGTGGCCTGTTCCAAAATTTAAGTTTATGAAGGTAAGGTCTGTGCAGTCTGTAGTTCATTCCAGTGTTGAAGCTGTATCAGAAGGAAGTGATGCATTTGAACCAGTCAAGCAGACAGCACAGTGCTTTCCATGTTGTTCCCTTTTCTGTGGTTTCCAAACCAAAGAATTCTAGATGTTCTGTACTCTTCAGTGAAATGTCTGAAATTAAGGGAAGAATTTCACCTGTAACATTGGATTATGTTTTTTTACTGTAACTCTTAACAGTCCCAGCTTGTAGTCCGCTTTCACAACCCAAGGACGTCATGCAAGTTCTTTAAACTACACCACTAAGTGATGAAGCTGGCTCCTACAGTAGAAAACATGTGCTTACTGAAAGGAAAGCTTAGCATAAGGGATGTAACTATAATTTTTGCCATAAGCTGTCCACATGTTTTTATACACCTCTAGAAACTTCACTGGCTTTTGCGAGCCTTCTTCCATTTCAGTATGAGCAGAATAAAAGTCACTTTGCTGTCCTACTCCTGCCCAAAGTCGGTTTAAACCGGAGGAATTTGGCTTAGATTGCAGTAGTGGTGTTAAGGCATACTGAGGCAAACCCTTTATTCATCAGTTCTGTGATGAGCGCTTCATGCATAGCACCATCTTTATCATTCCTCTCCATAATTCGATGTTAACATTTTCCCTTTCCTTGGTCTTTAAGATGTAAATAATCATCTGATTAAATATCTCTTGAGAAGATTATGCTATGGATAGAGGACTGTCAGTGCGCCCCTCACAATCAATGTTTCACTTGTTTATGTGATATATGTACACCTGTGAGTAGTTGCCATTACCCTTGATTGCAGCGTGGGAGACTCCTAGCTTCAAACACAACCATGCAAAAATCTGTCTTTTTTTAAATAGTGCCTTTTTGCAAATGCAAAAGTGAGGAAGGGCTCTGACTGTAGATAAACAAAGCCGCATTAATGCTGTGTGGGAAAGGTGGTAACAAGAATGTAACAGGGACTGAAATGGCTTTGGTCCCTCCAGTGCTACTAGCCTATTAGCATTCTGGCTTAGAGAGAGCAGGTCTTGTTGGTTTAAAAAACAAAACAAACAAACAAACAAAAAAAAAACAGCATTTTTTTTCCTTAGAAATAAAATTCCTGTTATTTGTAATGCTAGATGCAACAACTTTCACTGCAGAATCAGATATCTTTACTTACAAAATCTTACCTGAGGAATTAATTTGCATCAGCTTCCAAAAATGCTGCCTGTGGATTGAACATCCAGCTCGAAGCTGCACAGAGCAGAACAATAAAAGGCAATGTATCAAATGCAGAGAAGTTTCCTACTAATGTAATGCAGGGAATAGCGTTAGGGCCAGTGTTATTTAACATCCTCGTTAATGATCTGAAAGAGGAGAGTAAACAGCCGGTTAATGAAATTCACAGATGATACTAAATTGCAGACATTATAAATATCACGGAGGGCAGCGAAATAATAGAAAGGGAACTGAGATCAGAAACATGCCAAAGAAATAAGGAAAGGAATGTCAGCTGGGACAAATGTAAGGTAATGCCCTGGGGGAAAACGGAAGCAGCTCTGCTGTCTGGGAGGGGAAGCCTGACAAGCAGGATCAGAGACAGATTTCAAAGGCACCCCAATTCTGCAGCACAGCCTGGGACAGGCCAGGATCCAGCACTCCACAGCAGCTCTGCGCTACAGATACAGCACAGCATTAGCAGCCAGCTGCTCTGCACCGGAGTGGGGAGAGGCTGGTGTTGAGCTAGTATGATGCCTCCACCACAGCCGAGGGCTGCCCTCCTCCTGGGAATCCTCTGCTGCTTGTACATTGGCTGTGGGGCTGCTTTGTGTTGGCACTGAGAAGCAGAGCAGCTTTAGAGGCTGAGAATGGGACCTGACGGATGAAGAAAGGCAGCACGTGGAAAGAACGTCGAGGAGGAGGAGAAGGCAGCAATATGAAAATAAAACGTTATTCAGGATGGAAATTCTAGTGTGGATGTCAGGGGAAAAGCTCCTAGTGGTAAGATGTAATTAATCTGCAGAGTAGCCCTCTGACGGGGGTGGTGGAAACCTCACCACTTGGCAGCTTTAAGTACTGAATGGAGGGGAAATACTGAGAAAAATGAGAGGAAACAATCTCAAGTAGCAGAAGCGGGCTTAGGTGTGTGCTCAGCTGGCCTGCTTGGTCTTATCCAACCAAGATAAAAATCAACGGTGTCTTTCCTATCACAGAGTGTTCCTCGCAAGAGTGAGGATTCTGGAGCATTTTTGTACATCTCAGCCGCAGAAACATTTTCACCAATGTACCCTTGCTGCACCGTACTGAGATCTATCCAGTAACTTCGCATCTGTTGTTTCTCATCTGCAGCTGAATGGGTGTCAGTCACAATGAAGACTGAAGAGGGAGAACGGCATTAAAGCTCTCCTTGGCTCTGTACAGCTCTCTTTCAGTACACGCGTGATCTTACTTCTGTGCTCAGAACATTCAAAATGGTTATCAAGGATGTAGAAAATTTTACTACTGTAATTACAGCAAAAGGCTACCTGTCAGGAAAATAAATGCAAGTAATCAAACACAGATATGAATCTGGCTTTGAACTGGGGAAGCGGGGGGGAACCATTCAACCATGCTATGGGGAGGCAGCGTTCCCAGTGACGTCAAATTCTTATGCCAGGGTCGAACTGGGCTGTGAACCAAACCTGCCATGTTGGAACTAAGTACTCTGGAAGCAGACTATGGATGTTCAACTTACAGGAATATGAAAACATGACAGCATGTTGTTCTGCTGCTTTCTAAATAATGTCTCCAAGAGAATTTAAGGAGGTAGGTGAACATGTACACCTAAAAGAATGGCAAAGTATTTATAAAGCTCTTGTAAGGAAATACGTATTCTTTACTCTCAGAGAGAACACTTGGAAATTCCTCAGTGCAAAATATGCCTAAGCAAGTTATCTTCTCAGTACAAAATCTCAGATTGTGATGGCTTTCATAGTCTGTCCGGGATCTGACTGGAGAAACTGTAAGTATGACACATGAATGAAAAGATTTCCCATATTGCAAATAATGGGATGAGTGCTTTGGGAAAATGCTAAATCCTTCTTTTCAACTTGCACTTCTGGGGGCTGACTGTGACCTTGTGGGCTTGACTAATGGTTGATCAAAAGTAGATATATAGTGGACTTGTCAAGAACTAGTTATGGAATGATATTTTCTGGCAAGTTTGCCAGATCTGCAGATTCCAACTTCAGATATGATGGCATTTACTACTTGTGTATAAGCACATGAAGCTGCACACAGACATGGTAACACCATGGTTAAAATATATTTAAATGTTCATGTGTGAGTGTCTGATCAGATGTAGAATGCACATAAAGCTGTAGGCTTGCAGGATCAAGTAAAAGATCTGATCCCACATATTGAGAGCTACTCCATTAAGACTTACACTTGAGGTATGATATTAGATGTTGTGTAGTACTTGATCATAACAGCTAGGCCTGCCTTGATTATTTCATTTCACTAGCAGATACATTGGTGAAGCAATTTGGTTTCTTCTTCAAGATCTCTTTATTTCAATAACTGTGTGCATATGTCTTTGGTCAATTTCCCGAAGTACTGTGGGGAAGCATAAGAGCATAAACCTCCCTGCAGGGTACCTGGGCATAAGGAAAAGGGTTAGGAATGGCCTAAAGCATTGGGATAGGCTGCTGTAGTATTTAGCGGGGTGTCTGTCTGTGCCTCCTGTATGGAGCAGCCCCACACGTCAGCAAAGTCACAGCACTGTTCTTTCATGTGACATTGCTGCAACCTTCTGCAAAAGGTAAGCTAAAAATTATTCCACATGTATCTGGTATGCTGTAGCATTTATGTAGCTCTGCTTTACTTTAATCTACTGCGAATGCAGGAAGCAAGTTTCAGACTGCTGTGGTCTAAAACCATCAAATGTATTTATGCAGCTCTTGTAGAGTTGCAGTAACCGATAATTCAAACTCACAAATGAGATTGAGATGAATTTTCTTAGTCATCCCTACTGGAGCCATTTAGTTGGCTACAGGCAAGGCGAGTGTAGTCTGTATACGCATGTAGGCACATCATTTTGCCCTTACATTCGAGCTTACTGAAATCTGTACCAACAACACTAGCTATACCAGCAAGAAGAAGCCTGATACAGAGCTTGCTGAATTAAACTCAGCCATTGTCGTTCTTTTCCCCAACTTGGTAAGTTCTTCATTTTAATTTTTAAATTCTAGGTTCTAAATCTGGTGTAACTATTCCTTCTGCTCCAAAAATCTGACAACAAAATGAGATGCAGTAATTTTGTGGAACTGGAAATTTAATTATAATTTTGTAATAACATACTTTATTCTTATATTTCATTTTCTTAGATTTTAAAAACATCAAAAGAACTTTGGGGAATTTTGCTTTAAAATCAAGCATACTGCAAGCAGTGTATCAATCATTAGGGGGACACAGAACATGCTCTTAGCTTTTCTCAAGCTATTCTAATAAAAGAAAGCATTCATGACTAACAGAGTGTCAGTTCATATGGATCATCTTTACATTTCCTGAATAAGTACACTGCATATCTTGGATATTTCCCTGAGTAGGTGGGAGGGAGAGCAGCAAGAATAGAGGATCAGTGTTTGTCCCACTGTGCCTCAAACTTCCCGTCTTTGTTAGCTGCAGGACACAGCCGTTGTTTGACTTATTGTACAGGGATGGAAACTCCTGGCCAAGAGGGGAAGAGATAGTATAAAGGCAGCTTTGTTGTCCAACCTTCGGAGTTAAGTGAATGCCTAACTTCCATTGAAGGTTAGGAAGCCAAATATCTGGAAGGATTTAACTTTTGGTGATTGTGTTAGAAGATAATAAATCAATGATCATAATTCTAACCCTGTGCTCCAGCAGCCTCATATTATGGAACCACTCCAGTTGTAATAGAAGAGAACTTCTCCCAGAGTCAGTGTTGCTGCTAACCTCTAATAGAGCTACCTGGATGTACAAATCTCCTTCAGATCAATGGGGCTCTCCACTCTGCTCATATTTCCTGAAGATTTATGAAGTGAGCTTTGAAAGGGAACTTCATCTTTGACGAATTCTGGCACCGTGTCTGCAGTATGACAGGATGTTTGAGTTTCTTCAGTGGCTTCCAGATAATTGCTCTGAATTTTGCATTTTGGATTAAACCTTCTACTAGTAATTTTTTAAAAATGTTAACAAAACATTTTCAGGAAATTCAGCTTTTACTAAAAATGAACAGTTTAATTTCTGCTCCACTGCATTTAATGTTTATGTTATCTGACAGTTCTGTCTGTACCCAGTATCCCCTCTGATTCCTTGATGGGTATTAATGATGAACTGATTCTCAAGTATCTAAAATATTTAAATGCCCTGTTGGTCATGTAAGTGTTTTTGGAGCACATCAAAGAGCGAGGCATTCACAGAGCTTTCCCTCTCTCCTATGCTTTGCTATTTTCCTTCTTGGTTCTGAGTACTTGAAAACACCTGGATTGGAATGGCGCAAATAAATGACATCTGAGCAGAACCTGAAAGCTGGAAACCATTAAGTTCACTCGAGGGGAACAAATTTCCGCCTGTGTTTGTTGGAGCTCCTCATGATGTTCAATAGAAGTCTCCATAACTCCTAGGCTTGCTGGAGGTACTCAAACTTTATCCTTGTAGTTTGAGGCTGAGATTGGGGTTAGAGAAAGCTTTCTGAACTGAGAAATGGTTTTGGGAGGCTAGGCAAAGTGTTTGACCTCAAAACCTTGTTAGCAAACAAGAAATAGTTTCTTTTCCCAGCTTTCCTTCTTTCTTTGCCCTGCTGCTAACACCGATCAGCTGGTCACCTACAACCTCTCAAAAGTGTCTTGGCCTTCTTGTGTGCAGAGAGCTGTTTGCAAAGCAGCCCCGTACCAAACAACTTGACTTTTTTGTGGCCTATATTGCAGTACACCTAATCAGTATTTATAAATCAGAACTGTAAAGCAAAAGTAGGATTTTATAAAGCAAACCGTTATTGTATAGCTCCAGAGTAATAAATCAGTCACTTGTATCCTAAGTGCAAAGTGATGATTTATAAATCAAGGCATTTTATTTAGGGATTTTTCAGTATGATTTGTAAATCTGCTGTAGAATTTGTAAATCCAGATTGGGGTATGTAAATCCATTTCATGACTTATAAAGCAGTTGAATGTTTTAGCTAAATCTAATGTTTAAAATAATGATTTCTGAATCAAAACTTTCTGCTAAAGATTTACAGGCGAGTTTTATAAATCAGAGGCAAGATATATAACTCAAACTGTGAGAAGTGCAGATTTA